GGGGGGTCCTGAAGTGGGAGGGCCCCTCGCCGGAGTCGCTGCGGCGCCCGGCCTCGAAGGAGAAGACGGTCTGCGGGGCCAGAGGAGAGGGTGAGGGGCTGGCAGCCGCCCCGGGCAGCCAGTAGCCCCAGGGAAGGGGGAGGCACGCACCTGATCCTGGCCAAACTTGCGGAGGAAGGGGTAGGGCCAGGTGAGCAGGGGCTGGCGGGACTGCGGGTCCTTCAGCGTCAGGCTCTGGGGAAGGGCCGAGAGCACGTAGTGCCCGTGCAGGCCGCAGCGGGCGGCCGCGTCCGTCCGGACCACCAGCACCAGGAATTCGGTCACTACGGGAGCAGAGCAAGGCGGGAGTCAGCACCGCGGCGCCGAGCCGGAGCCCACCCCAGCCCCATCCACCACCCCTGCACGTACGGTCCTGCCAGGAGGAATAGAGGGAGTTCTCCTCCATGGGGACAGCGGGGCTGGGCTGGCTCCTGGCACTGCTCTGCGCCGTCTCCTTCGCACCCTTCTGAAACAGAGGGATGTGAGCGCAGCCCCCCAACCAGGGGAGCGCGAGCCCCCCTGCCTGCCCACGCACCCCAGACCTCCCTGGCACACCCGAGCCAGGAGCAGCGTGAGGGGTCCCGGCTATGCCGGACCCCACGGTACCTGGAAGGCCAACTGGCAGAGCTGGGCGATCCACTCATCCCGCTGCTCGGCCGCCAGCACGTAGTTCTTTTCCGTGGTGGTGAGGTAGAAGGCGGCGGTGGCTTTGGGGCAGCTCTCGGTGCCTGCCGGGCCCACAGAGACGCAGTCCGAGAGGCGGATCACCCGGCGGGCACACCGCTTCAGGGAGGTCTTCTCCAACGCCGTACCGTCATCCCGCACGTCGAACTTCTCCATGCGGGCCACGCCGGAGGGGCTGGCGGCAAAGAGCTGGGCTCGCATCTTCCTCCAGGACCTCTGTGGTGTGGGAAGGGCGCAGGCAGGGGAAAAAAAAAAAAGAAAAAAAGAGTCAGCAAAGAGCTGCCCGCTGCGTCCTCGCGGCACTGGCCTCCATGCAGGGCTGGCAGTGGTTGGGAAGAGCCGTGAGGGGCAGGAGGGGGCACGGGGGGTCCCTGCCCACACCCAGCGGGTGCTGCGGGAGAGCCAGGGCCAGGGCAGACCCTGGGGGCTGCGGGGCAGGGCAGTCCTAAAGCTGGGTCGAGGGGGGAGCCTCACCCCGAGCGAGCTCGGCCTGGCTCGCCGGGTGAGTCACGCTCGCTCCCGGCTCGCCGAGCACCAGGTCCTGCTCTTTGTTCCCCGCTGCAAGTGCCAGCCTGCCGCCGCTGCAGCTGAGCTCTCGAGCTGTTCTCAGGACAGACCCTGATGCAAATTAAAGCCATTTTGAGCTGCTGAGGCTCCTGCTGGCAGCCTCGCTTCTGCTGAGCACGGCCAGGCCCTGCAGCTCGCAGCCCGCTTCCTCCCAGGGGAGGCTCTGCGGCACCAGCACCTTCCCGGCCCGTCACGGGATAGAGGGGGCACGTACCCCCACGCACCTCAAAAACGCACCAGAGCCTCCGCCCTGCAGAAACCAGATGCAGCCAAGCACCCAAAATACCCCCCCGCCGCCAGCCCGCCTGCCTCCTACGCAGCAGGGCACCGGCCCTGCGCAGGCAGGGCACCGGCCCCACGCAGGCAGGTCCTGCCCGCTTCAGTGCCAGGACTCGGCTCCAGCTCGGCAGGGAGGTCGGAGCGTGATGGCAGCTCCGCACATCCACCGAGCCCCCCGTGGGGGCACGGCCGCCCCACCGTGGCAGAGGGGACGCCGCTAAGGCAAGGCCAGTGCACCGGTGGGACCTGTTTCGCCAACACCCACCTCGCAGCTCCCTCGAGCTTGCTCGACCCTGTGGGGACACCCACCGCGTCACCCGTACTGTGCCTGCAGGGCTGCGGCACTCGGTGCCCACCCCGAGGGTCCGGGGCAGCGGGCCAAGCGGTGACGGGTGCCCCATGGATGGCACTGGCACCCCAGGGCCAGGCTCGGCGCAGAGCCGCGTCCCACGCGCTGCCCCGGTGCCCTGCTCCCATGCACACGCTGGAGCCGTGCCTCGTTAACACGCGTTTATTGTTTCGTCGCGAATCGCGCGGTGACCAAGCGAGAAGAGGGACCCCGCGCGCAGGGGCGAGCCCGAGCAGGTGCTTGCACGGATGAGTCCCCCCGGCACCAGGGAGGGCCCCAAACCCCCCCAGGGGCAGCTCCGAGGGGTCTGGCTCCAGTCCCCCCTTCCCAGGCTGCCGAGGGCCCAGCCCCAGGCCTGGCATCAAGACAGATCAGGGCAAACCCCGTACCCAGCCCCAAATACACCCATTACCTTCCCAAATTTGCAGTGCTGCACATAGAGGATCCCATCCTTCACCGGTCTCTCCATGGGCCCAGCGCCACCCTGGCAGCCAGCGCAAGGATCGGGGACTCGGGCTACCAGCAGCGGAGAAAATGTGACTGCTGCAGCTGAAGCAACTGCATGGGGCAGACTTCCTTCTCTCAGCGACTTCCCCTTTTCGGTGTGTGGGATGAGGGGGAGAGGTTGGGCCACAGGAGGTGTCCGTCTGTCCGCCCTCCCCCTCGCAGAGGGGCAGCGGGGCAGAACACGCGCAGGCAGAGCACAGGAAGCGCCGAGGGGGCCGCCTGATGCGAGCCTCGCCCCGGCTGCATCGGAGCGCGTTTGGGGGACACGGGAACAGGCACCCACTGAGGATGCGCGAAACCAGGTAAGGGGGACGGTCCTGGAAGAATCGAGGGGCTTCCGAAAGGAGCGACATAAAACCCTGGCCAGGCCGCTGCAGGGGGCTAGCAGGGGCAGCAGGCAACTGGCCACCCACCAGTTGCCCCACCTGGGGCTTTCTCCTCCCTGCAGGCACCACTCCCTGCTTGCCCAACGCACCACTGACATAACGGGCTGTTGCAGCACAGCTCCACACGTTTCCTCCCGGGGCAGGAGCTTCATCAGGCTGAGCTGGCAACAGCCCCAGTGGCCAAATGCCTGGAAAAGGGGCCACAGCAGCGCAGGACAGGCCCCTGGGCTTGGGAAAGGCGAGGGCCGCTGCCCTGGCTGCAAAGGAGCCAAGGCCTGCGCAGGGGGCAACGCGCTCCCTGGGCTAGAAGTCCATGGAGCTGTGGGCCAGGTAGTCCTTGCGGCCGATGTTGCTGACTTGCTTGGTCTGCATGGCCTCCAGCTTGGGGCAGTCGGTGATGCGATGGCCCAGGCCGCCGCAGAAGGCGCATCCCCGCTCACCTGCAACGAGAGGGACGAGGTCAGGGGGAGCCGTGCCACGCTGGGAGAGCGACCCCCCCCCACCCCAAAAGCAGAGGGGCAACGGCAGCCCCGAGGCAGGCAAGAATTGCCCGGGGAGCCGGGGGTCTCGTCCGCAGCCCAGGTCTCTCCCAGAAGCCCTGCAGGAGGTCCCCGCGCCAGCCCGGGATCTCTCACCTCCGATGTCCAGCATGGTCTCGTCCCCGCAGTGCAGCACCTGGAGGACAGGCGGCACCTTCTGCTTCGCCTCCAGGAGCAGGGCCTTCAGGTCCATCAGCACCGACTCGTCTGGGGGGCAGAGACACGGGTCAGACGCAGCCCGCGCAGTGGTCGCACCACCATCTCTCCTCCGCGGGCCGTCACGGCTTGTCCCCGCTCACTCAGGAACAGCCCTGGGGGAGGCCACTCCACCGCCCAGCTGCCTCCCACAGCCCCCAGCCCCGCGCCGTTTCTCACCGCAGGCCTTGTTGATGAAAGTGGTGGCAATGCCGGTGTTGCCCGAGCGGCCTGTACGCCCGATACGGTGAACTGTGGAGAAAGAGAGAGGATCAGGCCTGGGTAAACGCACTGTGACAGACCATCCCTGCCCCCAGCCCCCGCAGAGCCTCGCTGGCCTCTGCGGCCACCCCGCTGCACCGTCCTTGGTCCCCCATGGGGCCCAGTCCCCACCGTAATTCTCAATCTCCTCCGGCATGTCGTAGTTGATGACGTGCTGGATGGCTGGGAAGTCCAGGCCCTTGGAAGCGACGTCAGTAGCAACCAGGACATCCTTCTTCCCATCCCGGAAGGCCTCGATGGCTTTTGTCCGTTCCTCCTGATCTGCAAAGGTGCAACAGAGAAGATCAGCAAGGGCAGAGCAACCAGTCCTACCTCTTGCGGCAACCGCTATGGCCTCAGAGCCGAGCATCGCTCAACCAGGGCTCCCCCAGGGAGAGGGGGCCTACTCAGCCTTTCCTCAAATAAAGGAGCAGAGGGACCTCCAGCTCCCACAGGGACCCGCACTGCGTTTACGCCTGCTCCGCACAACACGGCGTTCGCTCCTGACGCTGCCACAGCCCTTCCTCACACAAACGGCTGCCTGCTGGGGCCTCCCGTGGCCACGTACCACCCTGGCCGGAGCGGGGCCACGCCACGGCCCAGGCCTCCCCGACACCCTCACTGACCTTTCCCTCCATGGATGGCCACAGCTTCCACACCCTTGAGCAGCAGGTACTCATGGATCGCATCGACATCCGCCTTCTTCTCGGCAAAGATCAGCACCTGCGGCAGCACAGACATCACGGAAGAGCCGCCTTTCTGCGGGCTGGCACCGCTGGCACCAGCACAACGCGCCCCGGGAACCCCACTCCCTCTTGCTGAGCAGAACACGCAACAGCACTGGGCCCAGGACCGGCTCACGCGCGGAGCACAGCTCGCTCGCACGCCTACCCATGGCAGAGCCCTGCAGCACCACGGCCGCATCTCCGCTGCCAGCTCCGCCCGTGCCCCGGCGCTGCGGTGCGCCCGTGCTGCCCCTGGCCACGCTGCCAGAGCGCGCTACTCACGGGCGGCGGGGTCTTCTGCAGGCACTCAAGGAGGTAAACCATCTTGGCCTCCTCTTTCACGTACTCCACTTCCTAGGAACAAGCACAGAGCTGAGTCAGGCAGGCAGCAGAGAAACTGGCCTTGCTTTGTATCCCTTAACCTCTTGGGAAGGAGGGCTGGGAACCCCAGCTCCCTGACAGGGACACATCAAGTGCCCTCATGAACGGCGTTGGCCTCCCACACAGCCATGGGGGAGCAGCCAACTACCTCACCTGCACGACGTCCAGGCTGGCAGCACCCGCTCGCCCAACGTTAATGGTGATGGGCTTCACCAGGGCGCTCTTGGCAAAGTTCTGGATCTTCTTGGGCATCGTGGCACTGAAGAGGAGGGTCTGCCGCTGGCCCTGCGCGGGGAACGCAGTGCAGGCAAGGATTTAGCACCCACCCAACCAGGCGGGTGCGGGGATTGAGTTTCAGGGTGCTCGTACGGTGCCAGCTCAGTACCTTGAAGTAGGAGAAGATGGTACGGATGTCCCCCTCAAAGCCCATATCGATCATCCTGTCAGCCTCATCCAAGGCCAGGTAACGGCAGATGTCCAGGCTCACCATCTTCTTCTGCAGCAGGTCCATCAGGCGGCCAGGGGTGGCCACCATCATGTGTACGCCACTGTGGGACGAGAGAAGGCCGCGGCCGGGCGCTCAAAATTCCTGCTCCGTGCAGGGAAGGCGACACCTGCTTGGCATGTCACCTTCGCCCCCACGCCTTCCCGAAGCCAGCCAGCCAGGGTGCCACCCCTTAGCCCCCCCGCCAGAAAACAGAGCACAGTTCCAGCCCCACAACCCCCCCCAAAAAAAAAGATCTTACTGTTTGATCGTCTCCATCTGCTCCTTGACAGACATGCCCCCGATGCAGAGGGCGCAGCGCAGCGGGGGCAGGCCGTCCTCCTGCAGCAGGCGACAGTAGTACTCAATGATGCCGTGGGTCTGCCGGGCCAGCTCCCGCTGCAGAGACAAAACACTCATTCCTACGCCTCCGTGCGGGGAGGATCTGGGATTGCTGCTGAATATCGATCGAAGCTTCTTCCCGCATGTCACCACGCCCCCGACACTCACCGAGGGACAGATGATGAGTCCGTAGGGTCCCTCTCGCTTGGAAAACGGCAGCCTCTTCTCCTGCTCCAGGCAGAACATGATCACCGGGAGGGTGAACACCAAGGTCTTCCCAGAGCCGGTGAAGGCAATGCCAATCATGTCCCTTCCCGAGAGGCTGGCAGAGAAACGGGGCCGGCGGTGAGGAGGAGCGTCGCAGAGCGGCTCAGGCCTCCAGGGCCGAGCACGGTGACAGGGTGCGTCCGTCACCAGGGAGGAGCACCCGGCACCCACGGCTGGGGGGGCTGCAGGGAGCAACCGCTCCCCACTCTGGGCCGGGGACAGAGCACTCACATCGTGGGGATGCCCTGGATCTGTATGGGTGTTGGCTGCTGGATCCCTTTTTTCTTCAGGCCCCTCAGGATAGCTGTCAGAGAACAAGGGACACTCACATCCATGGCCTGAAGCCTCTTCTCTTCCCCTCCTGCCCACGTCCCAGCAGCAGCTCTTCCACCAGTGACAAACCTGGGCTGGCAGCTAGGCGACACGGCCACTGTTGGGAATAAGCTGCGACCCCACTAACGCTAAGCATTAAAGATCCGACAGCTTCGCTCGCTGACGCGTGTTTCCCAAGAAAATCCTGTCCCCCACCCTGGAACGCTGTCCCCTCCCGGCCTACCTGCTGGGAACTTCATCTCCTTGAAGCTCTTGATGGGGGGCGGGATGCCTTCCCCCTCCACCAGGATGTGGTACTTCTTGCGCACGCGATCGTGCCGTGCCTCCGACATGCCCAGGATGTAACGAGGCGCCCTCCAGCTGCGAAGGCAACGGAGAAAGGGCGTGGGGCAGAACGAGGCTGGGGCTCCGGAGGCAGCAGCCCCCGCGGAAGCCCGGGGGAACTCCCTGCCAGGCTCCACCATCCCACCAGAGAAAACAGGGGGCTCCGAGGGGCTTCCTGGTGCGAGCACGGGAGCAGATTCACATCAGCTCCGTGCATTAAACGTTTCCTCACGCTCTCAGTAAGAAGTCCCAAGCTTACAGCTGAGAACAATCTACGGATGGTGGACGGAACGTGCCAAAATCTTTTGGACCGTATCTCGATCTCTCTGACACCGCCTCGAGCAGCGCTGGCTCTGTAGGCTCCCCCAGACTCTTTCTCTAGCTTAATCACCTCCAAGATCTAACGATCCACCTCCAGTCTTCAAGTTTAATGTAAAGATACTCTAGAAAACCTTAACCGTATATAAAATAAGGTTCAAGGTGACTCAACAGCCTTCGATCTCCTGTACAGTGGTAAGACGACAGGCAGGGGAGCGAGAGAGGAGGCAGTGGCCGCACAGCGGTGCTCCTCCTGCGAGGCTGCACGGCTCCTAGCTCTCCTCAGCTGCGAGGAAGCGATGTTTTCGGGAAGACAACCCCCGTACTGTGAAACACACCTGGTTTTAATGGGATCATCATAGGTGATACCTTTCGCCATCTCCTTCACCGACATCAAAGCTGCAAGAACAAAGCCACGAGATCAGCGCGAGCTCTCCACCTCCAAACGCGCTTCACCTCAGCGGAGAACTGCTCGGGCAGTTTGGGAGAACGTGCCCGGAGACTGAGGAGGAAAAGCAGCACCCGAGAGCCCCTCTGGGCACGGGAACACCAGACGCCGCAGCCTGCCCTGCCCAGGGGCTGCCACGGCACCGCCTCAGCCAAGCCAGGTGTTTGGATGCCGACTGAATGATCCTGTCGCGATCGCCTGTCCCATCCCGGGCGTGAACACCCCTGAGCGTTGCGGGGCGGGTGACACCCCTACTGCTGCCCTGACAGCTCCGAGAGACACGCGGAGCTCCCACCGCTCACCTCGGCCCTCTGCCACGCTCTCCAGGATCTTCTCTTCCTCCTTCAGCTGCTTCTCCTTGGCCGACTCCTTCCGAGCTGGGTGGGGAGAGTCAGGGAAACAGTGAGGAGGGTTCGGTCCCTCCCGAAAGCCGCCCCGACCCCACCGCCAGCCACTCCCCCACCTTCCGCCTTCTCCTTGAGGTGCTGGTGCTGGTCCAGAAGGCTGATATTGGACTGGGGCCCCAGGGGGATGTCATCCTCGTCGCCCCGCTGCTCGCTCCCGCTGTCCCGCTGCTCCTCCTCCGACACCACCTTCCGCCGCATCTGCAGCAGCTTCTGCAGCTGGAGGCAAAGGGGTGGAAGGCGGAGTGAGAGGCCCCGCGTCGGGAGGCACGTTCAGAGCCCTCCCCCGGCAGCGCCGGGCCCCGTTACGCCGTTACCATCTGCTGCTTGCGCTGCTTAACGGGCACGTAGGGCACGTAGTCGTCGTCATCCTCCTCCCCGGACAGGTCGGACTTCTCCGCCGCCTCCTCCCGCTGCCTCTGTGGGGGAGAAGCGAGGTGAGGGCGGCCCGGAACGGTACCGGTCCCGCCGGGCGCCCCAGGGCCGCCGGTACCGGCCCGGCCCTACCTTCCTGTCCGCCCCGGCCTCCATGGC